CTGCTGTTCGTGACCCGAATTGGTCGTGAACAGAAGCGTTCGTGACCCGAGGTACCACTGTACTTCAGTGTACTGAAGATGTTACCTAGCCAGGTAACGAAACGTTTGCAAGAAAACAACCAAGCTCAGAGAATTCCAAGGACTCCACAGTCCAGCCTTGAGCTACACATATTCTCTTCTGTTGGTACAGTAACTCGCACTTGAAGAAAGCCTATCTCTGTAAGGCACGTCCCAGTCTATTTGTGCTTCAGAACAACTAGGCAGGGGGGCCGTTTTAATCAGCAAGGCCGCCAGCGTGGGAGAAGATGTGTGTGGAGTGGGGGATCAAAACTTTTGCCACTCTGTGGATGTCCGCAAATAACCAGGAACACGTTGTAAGTATTGATTTGGGGGTTGCAGTGTATATGTCAGCAAATCAGCGAATTAGCTAATACCAAACCCACAATTAATGAAGAATGCCTGTATCTGTTTCAGATTCCTTCTCTGCCAGGATCCCAAAGCAATTGTAGAAACATGGCCGCGTAGATGAAATGAATGAACTCTGCATGCAGAACTTAGTTCCGGGGAGAAAGCCAGCAACTTTCAGAGCTTTCCTCGTTACGTTAAGCTTCAGCTAAAAGTTTTATAAAATTATCTTACCTGGAAACAATTTGTTATGTCCCATAGGGAAGCATTTACAAGCTTGGAAAGGAATCCCCTTTCTTTCCAACGCTGAATAGGAAACTGGACTCGAGGACCACCCTTACACCTTTTGCCTAGCCAGACTTGTCCTGAGCTGAATTTCCTCTTTCATTGTGTAGTACCTAAAAAGCATAAACTTTGCCTTTTAATAAAGTCAAACTTAGCATGCAGATTTTCAGTAAAGAACATGATTAAGTGTCACGTGTGAAATGGAAAGTTTTAGGGACTTTTGGTCGGCATAAGTTTTGCTTCTTCAGGCACATGTGATTTCCTGTTGGATGTAATGAAAGTTATGTACCTTATAAAGAATATAGTTTAATCAATAGCTAATAGAAATACAGCAGAATAAAATATATTATTATGTATCCTTAAGGAACCTTTTAGGGTCTTTTCTGTTTATCACTATAGCACAGTATTTCTGTAAGAAGTGTGGACTTCAACTCCCAGAGTTCCTGGCCAGGGATTCTGGGAGTTGGTCCACACATCTTAAAGCTGCCAAGGTTGAGAAACACTGCTGGAACATAGTGATATATGGATGTAAGTTAAGGGCAACCCATTAAATTGCAACAGAAGAGCTAATGTATAATGTATCACACATTATCCACTGAACGTAGCTATTGGCATCTGCTCCTGTGGGACAGATCCACAGCCATTATTCCTTCAATAAACAAACCTTCTCTTTTCATGTTGGTGTCTTCATTTTTAGGTAACAGAATATTTTCCATAACAATTTGGTGTCAGAAGTGGCGTTGGAAGTGGTAGCTGGTGAGTATTTGGGGACAATGGAATGGGATACCCAATGTTGACCCCATCTTTCTCTTATTACAAAAGAGAACTTAACGAAAGGTAATATGGACATCCAGGATGGGCTCAGTGGCCCCTTTCGGGGAAGCCAGTTGGGGACAGTGGTTTCTCAAGGGAACTCTGATCCAGGACATGAATGACAGTTATGAAACCAAGAGTGAAATACATGCATAGGTGGAAAAAATGGACTAAGGAGGATCCTTCCCAGACTTACACAAGATTTTATATTTAAGAGGCTTTTTGGTAAGTATCAAGGGGGTGAGGGAAGGAGAAATTTATAAGAGCAGACATCAGTCAAATTAAAAACCTGGAGGATACCAATAGTCAACTTAAAAAACGATTGACTGAATCTGAAGAACCATTGGCACCTAATTTGGATATGCCTCCCTCGCATTCTTCCACTTGCATTATCCATAATTGTTGAGTGGACGAAATGAAAAGGTTTGGGACTAATGTACTTGCCCTGAGGGTATTTTGGAAAACTGTGACTGGCTATCTCTGGGTAACCAGAATGCAGGAAATGGGGCTGCCACACGGACACACACAGACAAAAATGCACACACGCTACCTTCTTATTTGTGGTAGATACCCTACCACAAACTCCAGTGTCTGCTTCTTCAGGGGAAATTGTAAGTCCTAAACTACCATTTCAACCCTCTCAAAAGTACTTCCAAGTGATTGGGACCCCCAAACATATCCCATAGGGATGTCCTCAGTCCAGATGGAGAAATCAATTACCTACTGTTTTGAGATTTAAGAATCATGATTTTACAATATCCAAAGATTAGTCAGGACCGTCAATGTTTTAAGCATGACTTGCATGCCACCATTGATGTTTATGTAAATCAGGTTCTAAGCATTATTCCAATACAAGATCAGTGTTCCTGTATGGGTAGTCGTTGTTTAGTGACTGTTTGCAGTTATGACGATGATGAAAAAGTAACTTTGTGACCAGTGCCCGCATTTATGACATTCACAGGTCCGTAAAGCAAAGGAAAGCTGAAGTAAGATCGTAAGCACAATGGCGACCACTTAGCAACCGCTTCACTTAACAACTGAGTTGCCGTTCCCAATTGTGGTTGCTAAACAAGAAAAACTACCTGTATCAACCATGCCAAACGTTTGAAGGCTATTGATGAAATGTCCCCTGTGTGATCAGACTGGGTCCCAGTCATTTCTCAAGGTTTCATGCAGAAAAGGGACATCCTCATCATCTGCACTTTGATCCTTCTAAGTGCCAGGAATTAAAGGGATCATTTGGATGTAGAAAATAATGGTTGCGTTCACAAAACATGCTGACCTAGGTTAAATGGGACAGGTATTTGTGGTGGTTTTGGAATATATCTATATATTCTTTCTTTCTTTCTTTCTTTCTTTCTTTCTTTCTTTCTTTCTTTCTTTCTTTCTTTCTTTCTTTCT